GACAGCCGGCCGCGCGTCCCTCTGGCCCGGAGCCCGTCCCCTCCTGCCCAGCCGGGAAAGGGAGCCGGGGCTCGGACAGCGGGGGTCCCAGTGAGCTTGCGGTGGGAGCCCGGTCTCCGCATTCAGTTGTTCTCTGGACCTTGATTCTTTTCTGGAGAACTTTCTTCCCCTCTTTCCAGGGACGGAGCAGGGAGGAGCAGAATGGGAATGAATGGGGCAGCTGCAGTTCCCGCCTCACCCGCAGGCATCTGCTCCCCCACCTAAGACAGAGCTTATCCTCCTGCTTCCCCCTTGGCGGTCAAGGTATCCACCCTCTCTTGGACCCCGAGGACCCCAGTTTTCACCACCACCATCTCTCTCATGCCCTCTCATCAGGCTGTTACTTCCTGACTGCTGGGTCTTTCTAAAGCGCCGCTTTGATTAGTTTTCGTCTGGAATCTCCGCGCGTCTTCTAGTCTGAAAGTTGTGCTTGAACTCTTGTACTTCTGCTCAGAAAACCTTTAAGTGCTTTCCCCTCGCCAGCCCCAGGAGTGGATCCAGGATTTGTGGGACCTAATGCAGTTTTGGAGACCTCTTTAAAAAGGTGTGATGTAGTTTTTGGAATGTTGGTGAGGTTGGAGTCCAGAGCCTGCTGCCAAGAAGGAGTTCTTGAAATGTCTTTGGTGCAGAAAGGTGATTTTATTAAGGTGCGGGGACAGGAGCCCGTGGGCAGAAAGAGCTGCTGCCTTGGGGTTTTGAGGAATGGCTGATTATATACTTGAGAATGGGGGGAGGTAAGGAGAAAGGAAGGTGTCCAAGAGGACTTTGATATGCTGAAGAAGATACTGGAGGCCTTGCCCTTGTCAAGCTAAGGTGGTTTCCCCTTTAGCAAAGCATTAAGACTGTTGGGAGCTTCCTGGAGGAATGTTATACCCTGCCTGCAAGTATTTGTCAATGGGCTGCAGGTTAAGGACATTTAATTTTTACCTGCATTTCCTTTACCTTTGTGTCCCACATCACTGTGGAGGGGAGGGTGATGCTAGGGCTCCGGAAAATGGAGTGATGGGTCTCTGGAAGTTAGGTTATTGATACGAATGCTTTTTTCTTGTAAATTACTAAGACATTGGTAAACTGAGGGAAGGCTCCTGTCCTGCAGGACTGTGATCTCTATTAGTTCACCCTTTGTGTTTCCCTTCCCCTGGCTCTAGGGCAGCCGGGAGTGCCTGAGGAAGGTCACATGGATCCCGCCCGGGAGTGGGGCGGGGGTTGCCCTGTGTCAGCTTGTGCTTTGTCCTCAGCTTGCCTTCTGCTCCCTCATCAGGTGAAATCACAAAGCAAAATTGCTAGGGCGCTGGAAAGGGCCTCTCCAAGTGCAGGGCCCTGAAGCTTAAGGTTCGTTGGTTTCAGGGCATGTCCTGTCCACGCCCCCCACCCAGTGGTACTGGAACTTTGGTGTGCTCGAATGTCGTCTGAGGGAACTTGTTTAAAATGCAGGCTCACATAGCAGTCTGGGGTGAAGGCTTAGGATGTTTTTGTTTTTTTTTTTTAGATTTTATTTATTTGAGAGAGAGAGAGACAGAGATAGTGAGACAGAGAGCACAAGTGGGGAGGAGAGGGAGAAGCAGGCTCCCCACAGAGCAGGGAGCCCAATGCGGGACTCGATCCCAGGACCCTGGGATCATGACCTGAGCCGAAGGCAGACGCTTAACCGACTGAGCCACCCAGGCGCCCGGATGTATTTTTAACAAGCTCTCCGGGGATTCTGCTCTGATGTGGGCAGTAACATTTCATCAAGCCAGAACTGAGAGCCTTAATCCTCTGACCCCAGGAAGAGCCTCTCCTCTACCTTACTTCCCACCGCCTCCTACTGATCGTGCATTGTATTCCCCGCACTGGTGCTCGAAGTCTGGTGGGGCTCCCAATCGCCTGGAGAGCCCTTGGGGCAGCCGGGTGTCCTGTCAAGCGTTCAGCTGATGCAGCATCCACCAAACCTTGCGAGCCGCTCAGCCAGACTCTGGTTGTTCATCTCCTCTCCATCTCTGATGGAGTCCTTCCCGTAGTCTCCTCTGTGCCCCTCATCTGGCCCTAATCACGCCCCCCCCGGAAGTTTTCTTGTGGCTATATTCCGTTTCATCCCTTGCCTGGAGCCTCAGTGTTGGGTGGGTCCTCGGAGGTCATCTAGCATGCCTTCCCCCCTCGCTGAGCAGGACAGACAGAGGGGTGGTGAGGGCACAGGAGAGGTACTGAGTGCTGAGGACCAGGCAGGGGCTTGGCCTTGACCAGCTTTTCTTCCTCCACAGGGGAAGAGGCTGCTGGGGGTGACAGGCTCATCCATGAGCGGGACCTGGCCTGGCTGCAGGAGGCAGATGGTGAGTGGTCCCCCCTCCTACCCACAAACTCCTCTGAGATGTTAGATCCCCTGGACACGCCTGTCATCCACACCAGGGAGGGAGTTCCCTTCTCACCATGCCCCGACTCTGTCATCTGTCCCTTAACAAGCCCCAGATATTGAGCCACGGTCTCTTATTTCTTCCCAGTGGTGGTGGCAGAAGTGACCCAGCCATCGTTGGGTGTGGGCTATGAGCTGGGCCGGGCCGTGGCCCTCAATAAGCGGATCCTGTGCCTCTTCCGTCCGCAGTCTGGCCGAGGTGAGCGCTCCAAGCCCTGGGTTGCCCCTCCTCCCGCCCCAGCCTTCTGCAGACCCAGCCCTGGGGGGCTCTGAGGACAGTGCCTATCCCCAAAACGGGACAGGGCAGGGAGCGGAGAGGGGGAACGTGGATGGAAGGAACCTTCACCTCCTTCCACCCTTCTCAGTGCTTTCAGCCATGATCCGGGGAGCAGCAGACGGCTCGAGGTTCCAGGTGTTGGACTACGAGGAGGGCCAGGTGGAGGCCATGCTGGATCGATACTTTGAGGGTGACCCTTCCTAGCAGATGGCTGCCTCCCCTGACCCAACTGCTTGATTTAACCCCACTTTGTTAATTCTTCTAATCCCAGACTCTGCTCTAGTACCCTTCCTACCTCTTAGCCCCACTACCAGATTAAAAGGTATGTTTAAAATTCTACCTATGTCGTCTATATGAGTGATGGGGCAGAATAGGTCCTCAGGAATATCATTTTCTTTCCTGCTTCACTTCAAGATGTAGAGAGACCTGTTAACATTCTGTAGGCCCCCAAGAGAGAGTACTTCCTAATGCCCTCAGACTCATGCCAGGAACGTTCAAGAGTTTGAGGAAGGCTGGCCCAGAGGGTGGCCGTTTCTCGGTCTCCTCTGATGCTGGGTGGGGTTCTGGGACAAATGGGCAGGCCTGCACCTGGCCCTGGACCATGCGGACCTTCATTTCCCTTTGTCCAGCTTAGGTCAAATGGGTCTGCTTTGGGCCTTCTCGGAGAACACAAGCGTCTGGAGGTCTAAAAGAAAAGTGAAGAATGAGGGTTGGGGGTATACAGAGGGAGCGGGGAGCTGACGCTAGCCTTTGGGGACGCAGCTGCGCAGCCTGCTTCCAGAGAGGGATGTGGAAAAAAGTTTATTCAGTAAACAGAAGGTACTGCAGACACTGGGAATCGCCTCCCCCAACAATGGCAGGAAGGGGCGACCTCCCCTCCTCGGCCCCCAGGACTCTGGGGTGGCTCCACGTGTTCCCTGTGTCCTGCCCCTCAGTCGTAGGCCTCATCATCCTCCTCATCACCGAAGAAGAAAGTGTCTCGGTCCAGGTTCTCGGACTCCTCGTCATAGGAAAAGCTGTCGTTGTCCAGCTCCTCATCAAACTCGTCCTGCTGCCACTCGGGCACATCATCCTCCTCATCCTCCTCCTCATCCACCTCCAGCCCAGAGGAGCCCTGGGGCCTAGGGAGGGAGGGAGCCACTTTCAGCCTGAGGCGAAGCCACGCATCTCCCACACCCCTGCATCCCACACCCCTGCGGCGGCTCTGCCCACCCTACTCACTGACTGCCAGGCACGTTGGATCCTTTCGCCTCTCGGGTCTCTAACGATGGGCTCTGCAGACCGACCCTGAAGTCCTGGCCAGGAGCCGGGGAGATGTGGGAAGTCGGAGAGTAGAGGAGTACCTGGGCCTCTGCCCAGCATTCCTTCACCCACCGTTCTCTGCCGGCCTCGTAGGGGTGCTCCCCCCCCACAGAGATTCTCCCAGCTCCTCTCCCTCCCTCATCCTGGGACTCCACAGTCCCAAGCCTGCGCGTCACAGAACTCTGGGGGACATGGGTCGTGCCGGCGAGGCACCCCGCCCTTGTGCTTCAGGAGCTAACAGTGTATGTTCCTGTCCTATCTACCCAAGTTATTTACTCCTCTGTAAGCTCCCTGAGGGCAGGACTCCTTGTTCAGACACAACATCAGTGTATTAGAGCTGGGAAGGACCTCAGTGGATCCCCATCCCAACGTTCCCACTTGGGAAGTATGGAAAAGTTCCCCGAGTGATTCTGATGAGCAAGCATCTGGGCAAATACCTTTGATGTGGGCTGACTCTATTTTGTAGCACTTGCCAGGCGGTTACGTGGCAGAGCCCAGCCACATCCGGCAGGCTGGCCCAGGAGCTAGGGTGCACGCCCAGGTCTCCAAACAGCCACCCTTCCTTTTGCATCCCCCCAGGGCAGGGGCTGTGCTGGGCCCAGGAGGCCCCGGGTTGGGCCGCATACCTGGGTAGAATGCTGCAGGATAGCCAGCAGCCTCTCTTGGATCCTCCGGAGCAGCTCCAGGCCGGTGCTGAGGCAGTCGGCACGCAGGAGGCGCAGGGACAAGGCCAGGTCTCCGCACCGCAGCAGCGTCTCCTCTGCAGAGGGGGCAGGGCACAGGGGCTCCCTTGCTCCTTCCGTTCCTCCCTTCAAACACCTACTGAACATCTACCAAGTCCTACCCACACCTACCAGGCAGGGCTCTAGGCTAGACATTCCATGGGGCCTCCATCCCAGTGGACAGGGGCAGATGGTGATCGAACAGGTCAGGTGAAGGCCTGTGCCCTGAGGCACCTACAGCAAGTACCACATCCCTTCATCCCTGAATTTTAAAAGGCTGGTCGCATAAGGCTGTGAAGGAGGAGGAGGAGGACTGGGGTGGGGGTGCCACTTTGCCCACTCTGCTGGGAGGGGATGCTGCGGGGGTGGACAGGCCGGGGAAAGGAGTGTGCGAGCGGGGACCCAGGCCGCACCGAGGAGTATCTGCAGGGCGTTGGTATGCAGCTCCAGGTTCTCGGTCTGCTGCTCCACCACGTCCATGTACTCCGTGCCCTGATTGTAGAAGCTGTACACGCAGGCATAGGCCAGCACCTGCGGGAGCCCGAGTCGGCCTTTCCTTGCTGAGCCTCGGCACCGCCCCGCTCCCCGCTGCCTCATTCCGTCCGTCCCCGGGGGTTAGAGGCCAGCGGCCGGGCCCGCCAGAACCCCTTGGTACATCCCCCCGCCCCCGCCCCCACCACCTTGCGGGCCTGCTCCAGTCCCCGGCAGGCGTCACTGAGGAAGGTGAAGGATCTGGGGGGCGGCACCTCGTGGATGGCAGACACGCGGTTCCGCAGGCTCACGGCAAACTCCTGTGCGGGGCGAGGCGGATCAGCGCCACCCACCCGATTCAGATCTGGGGCCCCTGCCCTGCCGTCTACCCCAGCCTTCTGACCTCCTCACCCACACAACCGTTTCCTCCCAGCTCACCCGGGCCTGGTGATGGAAAGTACATCTCTCGTTATAGTCCTGAAACCGCTTCTCCTGGCGAGCTGCTCTGCTTACCTGGTAAGGACGGGTGGAGAAGGAGGGCTCTTGGGTGCTTTCCTGGGCAGGACAGGGCGGACACACCAGGCACCCTGCATGCAGGCCTTCGGACTCTTCACCCAGACCTTTTCATTTAATCCTAACTCCGTGAAGTAGGTCACATTACTCTCCCCCTCTGCAGGGGAGGATGCCGAGGCATGGGCAAGGAAACTGGCCCAAAGCCACATACTAAGCAGGGGTGCCAGGCTCTGATGCGAGGGACAGGCTCTGCTCTGCGCTGGCTTGGTGCCTTGGAGAATGCACACACCTCCCAGGACAGAACTCCCAGCACCTGTAGGCCCAGGTGGCTTCTGTCTTCACATGGAGCCTCCGTCCCAATAGCTCAGGACACAGAACCCTCTCTGCCCAGGCCTGCAGCCACATCCCATCCTGGCTGCCCTTGGGCCCCCTGGCCCTGGCCCCGGTCCCTTACCATGGCAGAGCAGTTGTAGTAGTCTTTGTGATTTGGCTTCCAGGACTTGAGGCAGCGCCAGCAAAATCCGTGGTTGCATTTGGCACAGGTCATACTATGGAGGAAGCTGGCTGGTCAGAGGGCTGCAGGCCCCACCGAACCTGCCCTGGCCCCTCCGGGCCCTGACAGTCTCTTTAACCTTACTAACCTCTAGTGAACGCACCCTCGCTTCCGAGCCCCATGCGGTGCAGACTTTAAAGCAGGGCAAGGAGCGTTAAGGTGCAGGCGTCACCGGAGGGCGCCACGCTGGGGGTGGTGAGTGACTGCCCTCCTTCGCTCAGCCCTCTGGGAAGCCCCACGGGCCCTCCGCACCACCAGGCCTCCCACCCTCTCCCGTGCCCTCTGACCCCACCAATGCCCGCAGTAACCCCTCTTACTGCAGACACCCCTCGTTCTTCTCAATGGGAGCCTGGCAGCTGGGACAGCGCTTGGAGATGAGCTTGGCCAGGTGCTTGCTCTGGGCCTCCACGCTCATGCCGTCGTAGTAGCCGCCGTCGTCGACCCACTGGGACATGTGGCCACAGCTGGCAGGGTAGTGCGCCTAGAGAGGGGGTGGGGAGGTCACGGCTGAGCCCTGAGCCCTGGCCAAGGGTTGCGCCGCGGGTGTGCAAGGCAGGGAGGTCGCATGTGGAGGACTGCAGGGGGAGGAACAGAGCTCGACCCGGTGGCAGAGGGGAGGACAAGGCAGAGTGTGTGAGTGTGTGAGTGGGGGGGGTGCGGAGAGGGGTGCTGGCAGGGGCAGGGCTGGGCAGGCACCCACCTCAGGGAAACTACAGTTGAAGCAGGAGGCCCAGCCACACTTGGAGCAGGTGGTCCCACAGCCCAGGCCCTGGCGGCACAGGATGCGGTCGCAGCCCTGGGGGTTGGTGCACCAGGTCAGGTTGGAGCAGCTCTCCACATAGCCACGCAGAAGGGCCTTCTCGTACTGTGGGGACATAGGCGCCACCAGGTGAGGGCACGGCTCTCCAGGATGCCACACCTCTGTAACCACCACCCCTCCCCACCCACCCTCTGCACGCCAGTCCACTCCCTGGGGCCTGTCCCTCTGGCTGCACGTGGCAGCCTCCCGCAGAAGAGGGGCTACCTTGGAAATGACGTCTGGTGAGGAGACAATGGCCCGGATAAAGGCTCCCGTGGGCTGCGCAGGGCAGTCAGCAATGGGGCAGGTGCAATTCAACACAAGGTTCTGCTCAATCCGAGTTGTCAGATACTCATTCCAGCAAGACTGGGCGGGGGGAGGGGAAGGAGAGGCTGCTCAGGGACAGCAGGGATGCAGTACAGGACGCCGGTGTCCTGGTAACTCACCTCGCACCCATCCCCGACAATATGGAAGGCCAGAAACAAGCCTGCTCTGGAGCCATCTCAAAACAGACCCTAACCTTTCTGGCTTCTATGGGTTTTCCTGGGATTGGCCCAAATCACAGTTGCCTTCGAGAATGTGTGGGTCGGGATGGTGGCCTCATTTTAATTATTGCTGGGATGGACATGGAGAGAATGGGTAAGAGAATCAAGAAAAAGATGATTCAAGTGCTAAGAAAGATCTGGAGAAAGCAAGAAGGTCAGAGAGGGAGGCCTAGGGCAGTAGGGCGCCTTTTCCCCCACCCGGTGGCTGGCCTTGGACGCCGTGAACACTTCTGTGGCCTCTCCTCCCAGCTCCATCTGCTCACCTGGTTCCTGGGTGCTCCCATCTCCCCAGACTCAGCCTCTTCTCCACAAAACAGCCTTGCCCACTGCATTCCCCCAATCCCAGTCACCAGTGTTGGAAGCCTCACATCTCTCGATCCTTTTCTAGCTCCCACATCACTGCGCCACCCTAAACCAGGCCCTTATCCCCTCACCCCTAAATTGCGGCAGGAGCTTGTCCCCATAAATGGTCTTCCTACTGCGATCCCTCCTCCATGCAATCCACTTGGTTCAGGCGTGATCAGCAGCCTGAGCCTCCTAAAATACCCCATTAATGACTCCCTTCCTTCACACTGCCGACTGCAGAGCTTTCCAAGATGATGCATCTAGACCCCGGGAGACTGCATGAATCCATATCAGTGGTACCAAAGCTCCAGGGTAAATGAAAAGTGCCTTACCAGACTATGTTTACTCAAAGCAAAGTACTAAACAGAACAAGACCCTTTTTATAGTGAAACAAACTCAGGTAAACTGGGAAGTTGAATGCAGAATTCCTGCATTTTTGAGATAAAACAGGAAAACGCTCCAAATTCAGACCGCACACTTGCAGGCACACGGGGTCCCTTATAGCCTAGAGGCCAAAGGCTGGCTTCTCAGTTTGGAGCCCATCCCACTTCCCTAAGGAGCCCCTCTGCTGTGGGCTTGTTCTAGCTTCTGCTGTCCTCCCTGTCTGGCCCGCCTGGAATGCAGTCTCCAGCCTATATCCCCCTCCTGCCCCTGCCAACCCTGCCTGTTACTCAAGGTCACACACAAAAGCCTCCTGGGACAGCCCCAAGCCCCACGATTTCCCTTCTCTGAGTTCTCTTGCATTTCGCTGTGCTGCTCAGCTGTGACTTATTCACAGGCTCCTCCTTGGCTGGGACTTGTCCAGTGAGCCTGTTTTCCCCAGGCTCCCTGTCTCTACAACTCTACAGGGGTGTCTGTGCAGCTCGGCACCCTGGGCCTGCTTCTCTTGCCCTGCAGGACACTAGCCAGGCCTCTCCACTTAATTCCAAATCCCCCCGTCCAGTCCCAGACAGGTGTCCAACAAGAAGCTCAAACTTCACATGGCCAGAACAGACTGAATTCCCCTTCGAAAACCTGCCCTCCACACTGAGCCCCAGCCCCCATCTTGCTCAACTCAGCGGATGACACATCTCATCCACCCAGATGCTCAGGTTAGAAATCCAAGAAGCACCTTTGATTCCCTTGTCCTAAGTCCCCATGTTGGCTCCACCGAGCCCTGTCAGCTCTGCCTCCTGATACTGTACCCCAACCCGTCCACTTCTCTCTTCACTGCTGACCCTGGGCCAAACTCCCACCACCTCCTGGCTCTTGGTACAACAGTCTCCCGATGGGTGCCCCTGCTTCCACACTTGATCCGCCCAAGCCCTTCTTCCACACGCAGTGATCTTTTCAAAAATATAAATCAGATCCTTCCTATCACTCCCCTGCTTAACCCCACCATGGCTTTCCGTAAAGTTAAGCCCACCGTCTGTCAATCCCAACCCAATTGGGCCCCTGTGTCCCTCCCAAATCTCTCCCTCAGCTGTCCCACCACGTCACTGCTTTAGCCACCAGGCTCAGCTTCTTCGCACTCACTGTCCCCTCTGTCTGCCACACTCTTCCCCTAGATCGTCACCTCCTCAGGATGGCCCTCCCTGACCTCCCCAGTCTCAAGTCCCTGACAGGCCCCTCCCCCAGTCCTCACCTCAGTCACTTCCTATGACGTGACCCTGTTGTATTTCCTTCCTGCACTTGTCATGAGAGTGTGAGGGAGGGCCCTGGGGCAAGACCGCCCAAGTCCAAATCCTGGCCTTGGGCAGGTGACTTCTCCGGGCGCCTCCATCTGTCTCCAGCAAAATGGCGACAGTAAAAATACCTACCTCACACAACTACCACGGAAATTAAGCAAGGTAACCATGTATCACAGCGGAATGGCCCAGAACGCATCCCCCATAAGTATGAGCTGCTGGTATTATTAGCTCTTGGGTTATTTCTTGCTTGGATTTCCCCACCTCCTCATACAGCAGCATCCAGTGCTGTGCACACAGTGAGTTTGTGACAAATATTAGTTGAATGATAAAGTGAAAGTGGAAAGGAAATAATTAAGAACCTGGAAAAAGGGAGCACAGGCAACAGTGTGAGAAGAGTAAGCTGAAGCCGAGAAAAAGGGAGGAAGAAAAAGTACCCGTATACATGCATGTCAGCGCTCATGTCCCAGATCACCCACCCCTGCGGAGACGCTGTTGGCAGAGGTGGCTAGATTCATGGCAACAAGCGTGCTTGTCCTGTTAGGTTGAGGTATTTGGGCCTGGCACCAGTTCTAAGAACTGTGAGGCAGGGAATATGCGACACTCAGCACCCCGGTTCCCTGCACCTCGGCCCCTCTCCGCCGTCACTGAGGACCGCTCACTCCCCCGTCTACAGCCTGCTCTGCTCCGCTTCACGGTGGCAACACCTGGCTTCCCATAATTCCCTCTACTTCTGTGCTATTCTCTGGTTTACACCATTTCTTTTCATTTTTATATTCAGTGAGAATATATGGTAAGTGCTGATGTTCTGAGATAGACTTGGTGATAAGAAAACCATAAACCTATTGTCATCAGCAATTTAATAACATTTCTCATTTATAAAGTGCCTTGATGTATGGTTTACGTGTGTGCATTATCTATCTACCTATCTGTTGTTCTCAAACTTGTCTGAACACTGGAATCACCTGAGTTTTTAAAACTCCAGATGCCTAGGGCACCTGGGTGGCTCAGTCAGTTAAGCGTCCTACTCTTGGTTTTGGCTCAGGTCATGATCTCAGGGTCATGGGATCAGCCCCGCATGGAACTCTGTGCTCAGCGTGGAATCTGCTTGAGATTCTCTCTCGACCTGTCCCTCTGCCCCTCCCCCTGCCTGCGCTCTAAATAAATAAATAAATAAATAAAATCTTAAAAAAAGAAAAATAGGGGCACCTGGGTGGCTCAGTCGGTTAAGCGTCTGATTCTTGATTTTGGCTCAGGTCATGACCTCAGGGTCATGGGATTGAGCCCTGCATGGGGTTCTGTGCTCAGCATGGAGTCTGTTTGTCCCTCTCCCCCGCCTCTTCTTTCTCTTTCTCAAATAAATAAATAAAATCGTGAAAAATAATAAAATAGGGGCACCTGGGTGGCTCAGTCGTTAAGCGGCTGCCTTTGGCTCAGGTCATGATCCCAGGGTCCTGGGATTGAGCCCCGCATCAGGATTGAGCTCCCTGCTCCGCGAGAAGCCCTGATTCTCCCTCTCCCACTCCCCCTGCTTGTGTTCCCTCTCTCAGTGTGTCTCTCTCTGTCAAATAAATAAATAAGATCTTAAAAATAAATAAATAAAATAAAATAAAAAATTTAAAAACGTAAAAAAAATTAAACTCCAGATGCCTGGATTTCACCTCGAGATTCTGATTTAATTGGTCTGGGTTACAGTTTGAGCATGAGGATTCTTTTTTTTTTTTTTTTTTTAAGGGTGGGGGAAAGGGCAGAGAGAGAATCCCAAGCAGGCTCCATGCCCAGCATGGAGCCCAATGCGGGGCTCGATCTCACAACCCTGAGATCATGACCTGAGCCAAAATCAAGAGTCGATGCTCAACCAACTGAGGCACCCAGGCACCCCGAGCATGAGGATTTTTTAAAAGCTCCCAGTGATTATAATACACAGCAAAGTTTTACAGCCACTGATACATTATTGCTGGCTCCTGGCAACCACTCCCCAGATTGCTGAGGCTGGTGGCACCACTTACAGATGACAAAACCAGTTTGAGAGTGACTAAGTTGTCTGTCCAACATTGCCCCGGCTAGGAAATGGCAGTGCTGGGGCAGAACCCCAGAACTGCCAGGGAACTGTGTTGAAGGTGGAAAGCCAGTGGCAGGCGAGAAGCAGGCGGGCCTCACCTTACAGCAGTAGTGCATGCAGCAGAGGGAGGGCAAGTCATCGTCGGGCTCCAGTGGGCTGACACACACAGGGCATTGGTCGGGGCGGGAAGGGGCGGCCCAGGCCTGGGGGACGCACAGCCCAGCCGCCAACAACAGGGGCTCGGGGTTCTCGCTGTAGCTCTGCAGCAGCTGTTCAGCACCCCAGTGGGAATGAGCCAAAAGGTGCTGAGCCACATCTGGCTCTAGGTTCAGCGTCTCCTGCACCTGCCGTACCGTCTGCTCCATCAACCCTTCGACCTCCTGGGGGCTCATGGTGCGGCCTGCAGGCAGCTGGAGAGATGCCAGGGCAACTACAGCTTCTGGGCTTGAGGGGAGAGAAGAGGCAGCAATCAGTCTCCCTGCCCTGCTTATCTACTAAACAAACCCCACCCCGGCCCTCAGCTCCCCATTTGTGCACCCCTGCTTATGTGTGCTCAACCAGCCTCAGGATGACCACCCAAACCCACTGTCAGAGCGCGGCTCTCCAAAGAAGCATCTGTAAGTGAGGGCTGGGGCTGGCTGTCACTGTGATTTCGGGCACTCCAGGAATCTGGTGGGCAGGGATCAGGATGCTAAGTGTGCACAGGATCCCCACAGTGGATGGGATAATCCCACTGTAAACCCCACCCCAAACACCAACAGTCCGTCTGGTGAGAAACCGGAGTCTGCAGCCTTACTACTCAAAGTATGGGCCAAGGACCAGCAGCCTGAGTACCACAGGGAGCTCTCCTGACTCAGGATCTGCCTTTTAATGAGAACCCCCCCCACCCCATGATGTGTATGCAAATGATTCCTCTAGAGAACTCACTTTACACACGGTGCCAAAACATACTTCTCGTGAACTGGATGTGACGGGGCAAGCTTTAGGGTGCCAGCTAATTAGGGGGATCCTATGGCAAATTCCTCTGTGGAACACGCTTCTTGAAAACTAGAATTTGTACGTTTCACGGAACAAAGTGCATCATCAGCACTCAGTACATATCTGTATGATATTTCATTTTTGCTTAGAACGAGAGGCATCTACACAGGAGCTTATGTGTCTGGGTCCCTTGTATAAGGACTGGCTCTCAGGGGATGGGGACAGCAAGGCCCCCAATTAGGAAGGCAGAGAAAGGGGTGCCAGTGCTGACAAGGGAATGAGGACTAGCAAAGTCGGAGAAATAACAGAGGCAGGGAAAACAGGGTAAGACAAAGAGAAAAATGAGGCATCTTTCCACAAAAGAGCCTAACTTTGGCACTAAACCTCCTCCTGTGTCACTGCAGGGCCATCTGTCCTGGGGAGCCCAACCCTCCCTACTGGCTTGGAGCCCCTGCAGCTGGGGAATGGGACCGAGGATGGCTACCTAGGCTTGGAGGTCTTGGTGGTCTGGTTGCCACAGAATGGGACCTCTGCCTGACCCCGGCAAGGCCCCGTAGGCTCTGGGGTGGCATACATCAGGATCTGGGGCCGATCGTCGCGCCGCTCCACGTAGCCCTGGCCCAGGAGGTGGAGGATGCAAGAAAGGACATCTGTACTGGTACAGACCACGCCTCCTGCAACAGTGCGGCCCAGGCTTCCGGGGGGATTTGGACCCTTCTGCCAGGCCTCCAGCACCTGGATGGGAGAAGAGGAAACAGGCAGGCCACTTTTACCTAAAGGAGCTAGCCTGCCTGGGTTCAATGCTCAGCTCTTCCACTTACTAGCTGTGTGACTATGGGTGCGTTACTAACTCTCATGCCTCACTTTTCTTCTCTGTCAAACGAGAGTAACAGTAAATAATAATAATAATAATAATAGTAATACCACCACCCTCACTTATCCCCTAAGACTGTTGTGCAGATTAAATGACTTAATCATGCAAACTCTTGGAATAGGGCCTGGCACATGGTGAACACTCATGTCTCATCTCTACTTTCTAACTAAGCGCCCTGTTAGGAAGAGAAAACCCAGATGCAAATGTCACCCTACGAGGTCTTGTACTGAGAATGTTTACCTTCTCTTGTGATGATCCCTGGCCCTAAGCCCCAACCCTGAGCCTGACTCTCTCCCTCCCTTAACTCCACGGTCCCCTCGGCCTACCAGACAAACCAGCTGATCGATATGGAGGCCCTTTTCCCCATGGGCTTTGAGAATACGGACAAGAAGACAGCTCAAGAGGTTCCTCTTCTGTTCCAGAGTTCGGCCCTCATCCTTCTCGACATTCAGGTGCGTCTGGGGAGGTATCAGCCACAGGGCCTCCCCAGAGCGCCGGGACCCAGGCGTCCGAAGCCGCAGCACACCTGGAACTCACTCCCAGTCAGCACCCGAGGAGGGGAAGGGAGAGGTGAGTGGCAGCAAAGGGGAGCCCATTCATTCCCTACCACACGCCCACCATGAGCACCCCACCCTGTAGGAGCAGTGGCACAGCCCAGCCCCCGCTGACCTACCCCTGTGTGGAAAGCCCTGACCCTCATGCAGGATCAAAGGGCCATTGTCTGAGGTGAGGGGCAGAAGTGCCTGGAGCAGTAGTTCTGGGGTGAGGTCAGAATTCTTCAACAGAGTCTCTACAGACATCTCCTGGTGAGGAGAAACAGGGCCAGTCAGGAGTAGATAGTCAGGGGAAAGGAAAATAAGAGGGGGGAAGGATGGAAGAAGGGGCAGAGTTTAGGAGAACAGTGACAGACAGGGGGAAGAGAACAGAGAGAGAGGCTGAGGAGCTGAGGCACCTCTGTCTGATTGAAATGCAACAGCAACCACATCTGCACGGTGGACACATGCAGGGTCTGGTCCCCAAACTGCAGCTCAGCCCGGCCCAGCCACGTCCACTGCAGCCGCCGATGGGGTCCCATGTCCAGGACTGGATGATTCTGACCTGGGAGAGCAGGGAAGAGAAGAGGAGAGACAAAGAGCAGGGGAAGCGAGGGGGTTAGAGGCTGAGGCCAGGATGTACTATTAGTTAAGCTCTGTTCCTGCTGATCTCTGTGGGGAGGAGGGCCCCCACTGAAGTGACTTGTCAAGCTTCCAGAGCTCAGACTCCTCTGTTTCTGCCTCCCTGCTGAGCCACAGGTATCTGGGAGCCCACCCTGTGCCTCACCCCACACCAGGCAGGTTCCACGAAAGAAACACCAGAGAGGAGAGACCTGGGTTTTGCCCTCAAGGAGCTGACGGTTTTTAAAGACCCACTAGGCTGCGTCTCTTCCTCCTCCTGTGTCACAACTCAGGCAAGATGAGCCTGGATGTTCACTCATATTAGAAAGCAAGGATGCTGTCAAAGGCAGAGAATATCAAAAGGAGACAATCTGAGAGGTGCTCTCTGGCCAAAGATGGGACAGTTTGAACATCAAGAAGATAACATCTGCGCTGGATTGAAACACATGAAATATTTTAAAATTCATGAGTTCATAATGACATATTTTTTTTTAAAAAGACCACATCGGTTATCTCTTTGGAGGATGCTGGAGGAACGAACACATTATTTTGAAAACTGGTTAAAAATAAGGGGGAGGAGGAGAGAATCAAGCCTTTCCAGTATCAACCGTACTTCAGGGTAACCAAAAAGTTGCCGAGAGGAAGTTTCTCTTCATAGAGAAAACGTTCCAGCTGATATGTGAAGAAGGTATGACAAAACTTGAATGGCGCAATCTGTCCGCCCTAATGAAATGACAGAGCTAAGCAATGGTAACGAGTGACCGCCTCGTGAACATCTGACAGGAAACTATTATATAATGTACAGATCAGACTTGCAACACTGAAATCCACTGACCCATCTTACAACATCCCAGAGACAGGTGGAAGTACACACTACCACCTATGAAGTGCTCTTGCCCCAGAAATCACACCCAAATTGGAATCAACTTCCACATCTAAGTATCTGTTTTCCAGAAATGAGAGACAGAGGAACAGGCCAGAGGACACCATGTGGATATGGTCAGCAAAATCCGGCCTGTGCACAATTCTGTGTGGCGAACAATCCAGTTTCCTCCACAGACAATTGTTAAGGGGGCAAAAACGGAAAGCAGGACCTATAGATTAATGGAGACGGAAGACAGAGCTCAATCAAATGCAAGGTGTGGGCTTTGTGTGGATCCCCAATAAGCAAAAAACTAATTTTGAAACTTGAGAAAACGGGGGAAATATGGACACTTTGCTGTTTGATATTAGGAACTGTTATTAATTTCTCAAAGTTTGATCACTGTAGTGTCCTTGCTTTTAAAAATAAAATCCTTAATCCTTTAAATTGGAGAACTGGGTAAAGTGGGTGGGGGTACAGAAGAAATGAGATTGGCCATGAACTGACCCATGTTGGTACACTGGAGTTTATTCTATTTTTTTTTTTTTTTTTAAGATTTATTTATTTAGAGAGGGAGAGAGAGCGCACACAGAAGGAAAGGGAGAAGCAGACTCCCCGCTGAGCAGGGAGTCCAATGCGGGGCTCGATCCCAGGACCCTGGGATCATGACCTGAGCTGAAGGCAGATGCTCAATTGACTGAGCTGCCCAGGCGCCCCACATTCTGTCTACTTTTGTGTACATCTGAAATTTATCATAATAAAAAATTTTTAAATGAGAGTGAAGGTAAGCCATTCTCAAAAACTGATAAAGTTTCCACCAATACTCCCTCAATGAAGAGACTTCTAAAGGATATACTTAAGGAGACTGAACTCAGAAAGAAGGATCAAGATGCAAAAGGATTAGTGACGGAAGCAACTAGTATGATAGCAAATCTAAACATCAACTGAATAAGACAATAATAATAATGGCTCTTTAGAAAGTAGGGAAAAAAAGATAATCCTAAAGTATCAAACAACAATAACAATTAAGATGGGAGTGAGAACTGCAGTTAAGATTTACTATGGTCCTGGGACATCCGGGTGGCTCAGTCAGTTAAGTGTCTGCCTTTGGCTCAGGTCATGATCCCAGGGTCCTAGGATTGAGTCCCTCATCTGGCTCTCGGCTCAGTGGGGAGCCTGCTTCTCCCTCTCACTCTCCGTGTTCTCCCACTCTCTCTCTCTCAAATAAATAAATAAAATCTTAAAAAAAAAAGATTTTCTATGGTCCTTTTATTGCTCAGGAAGGTGGGAGAGTGATATTAACAAGTCAAACATACAGGTTACAAACATTAGGGTAATCAACTACAAAAACAGAATGTGTGACTTCCCAAACTGGTAGAGACAAAGAAAAGAATTAAAAAAGATCAATCCAAAAGAAGAGAAAAAAATGCACAAAAATCCAAGGTAGAAACATATCTACAAAGGTGTTCAATTTATTATTTTTCTTTTAACTGTACATGTGTTTTATATATTCTTTTGTGTATATGAAATAACTAAAATTTAAAATTATAAGAAAGGTAAACTAAAATGTAAGAGTTTAGCAATAAAAGCCAAATATATCATTTACTCATACTAATTATAAACAGGCTAAGATTGACAACTCAAAAGGAGAGATTGTTAGGTTGAATAAAAAACAAATTCTAGGTATTTATAAGACACCTGCCTAAAATAAGAGTAAGGCAAAGACAAAGTAAATGATACTGGGGGAAATTCTGATGAGAGCAGAATATAGGCACCGTTTGGAAGTATCTCTCCAACAGACTGCTTATTAATAGTGGCAAAGGGAAAATATTAACTATATAGTAGGAAATCAAACTACCTCTTGATCAGGTTGTCAAAAATCACATCACAAAAGAGGAGCAGATGGAAATTGTGTGCTTCCAAATGAAACACACAGAGGACATAATGTCACTTACTTAGGATTCTGGCCCAGAATGTATCACCTGAATCTAATTATGAGGAAATGTACAAATATAAAATGAAAAACGTTTAGAAAATTTTATGGCTATTTTCTCCAAGGGTGTCAATGTTGTAAAACACAAAAAAAGGCTAAGGAATTCTTCCACATTAAGGAGACTAAAGACATGACAACTAAATATAATAGATGATCCTAGCCTGGATGCTGTCCTAGACTAAAAAATAACAGACATTATGGAGTCACTTGACAAAATCAGAACGTGAAAAATAGATTTAAGGGTGCCTGGGTGGCTCAGTTGGTTAAGCCACTGCCTTCGGCTCAGGTCATGATCCTGGAGTCCCTGGATCGAGTCCCGCATCGGGCTCCCTGCA